CATCCCACAGACCAGTGGCAGAGCTAGGAAATAGAACCTAGGTCTCCTGAATCCCAGTCCAGTGCTCTATCCACTACACCCCACTGTCTCTCGGAATAGAACTGGTTCCTCCCCATCTTTAAAGCAACCCCACAGCATGATGTCCTGTGCAAGCAACCCCACGCGGCCAACGCTGGGTGACCACACATGCTAAACCAAACATCTCCAGCAGATACTCACATCTCTGAGGCCCAGGTTCATCCCCATCTTGTTCCACGCTGTCATAGTCCTCACGTACTCTGGCCCTCGAACCTTCCTCTGGCCACACAATGGGGGGAGACAAAGATCTTTTTAGATGACTAGAAACATTTATTATGCTAGTGCTTAGGGACCAGCCAAGGACACAGCCCCATTGTGCTAAGCACTGCACACACAGTGGCAGACAATTCCTGCCCTGAAGGGTTTACAGTCTAAATACATTTAACTATGTATTCTAGCTGTTCTAAGCACTGCTAGGCACACACGCATGTCCCTGCATTTACGCTTTACAGCACATACAATCCTGTTGAGTGACACAAGTCCAGCAGTTAAAACAGTGATAAGAATCAGACTCCTGGTGACCTTGGCCAAGTTGTGTCACCCTGGTATATAAGTTGGAGGGGTCTATTTTACAGATGGGGGAAACTGAGGCAAAGGGAGCTGAAATGACTTGCCAAAGGGCAGAGCAAGTCAGTGACCGAGTCCCAGATGGAACCCAGGAGTCCGGATTCCCATCCTAAAACACACTCCTGGGGCTTAAGCCATCGGGCAGTTTCTGTTTAGAAGCAGCCAGGTGACTCCAGTAAGTAGCCAGACCGTTCCAGTTAACTACATGACACAGGAGGCTCCTCCGGATTCACACAGTAACTCAATTGTTCATAACAAGATCTTCACCTGAACCAAACCCTCGGCCTTTCCTCTTCTTTGCTTTCTCCTTCAGTTTGTGGATGCTTTCTGCGGAGAAGTTCAATGTGTTAATTTCAACTGGAAGGAGGTCTGAAACAGGCCATTTGTGGTAGAAGGGGGAGGGGGTGTCAATGTTATCGGATCAGAACCAGGCTCGACCCAGATGGTGCAAGTTTCAGAACAACCCCAAGGCAGGGACAAACTTGGGTCAGAACCGGGTGAGCTGGGCACAGAGGGTGGCAGGGTCAGAATCTGTCGGGGGCGGGGACAGGACTCGGGTCAGAACTGGGTGAGCTGGGCACGGGGGGAGCCGGCTCAGAACCTGTCGGGGGCGGGGACAGGACTGAGAACCGGGGGAGCCGGGCACGGGGGAGGCCGGGTCAGAACCGGGCGGGGTTGGGGCGGGGAGAGGACTGAGAACCGGGGGAGCCGGGCACGGGGGAGGCCGGGTCAGAGCCGGGCGGGGTTGGGGCGGGGACAGGACTGAGAACCGGGGGAGCCGGGCACGGGGGGAGGACGGGCCAGAGACGGGTGGGGGCGGGACTGAGAACGGGGGGAGGCCGGGCCAGAACCAGCCCGGGCCTGGGGCTCGGAACCGGACAAGGCCCAGTTGGGGGGCGGGGCTCGGCCCGGTGTCTGCCCGGGCCCCCATTACCGTCCCCATCCTCGTCCATGGCGAAGTCCTCGCCGCCCGCCTCGTGAAGGTCCAGCACGTCCGCCATCTTGCCCACCGTGCGACTGACTGCACCGCAGCTGCCGCTGCTAGGGCGGGCGCAGAGGGAACGGGAAGCCGGCGGGGCCGGGACCGCGCTGCACGCCGGGAAGCGGGGCGGAAGTTCCGCTCCAATCATAAGTGAATAGCGAGGGGGCCGCCATCTTGGGAAGGGCACGCTTTTTTTCCTCCGCCCGCGGGCACCATTTTGGTAGAGTCACGTGGCCTCCCCCTCCCCAGCTGGGGAGACGCCATCTTGGGAAGGTCCATAATTCTCGCCCCTGTGTGGTCGCCATCTTGAGAAGGGCAGGAGGCAGGGTTCCCCTCCTGCCAGTTGCAGCCAGCTGCTTTCTTATAGCAACCAGCCATCTCCCTCCTCCTCATCTGGGCCTTGGGATTCTCCTCCCTGCCCCATGAGGCTCTGTTCTTCCTTCTCCCCACTCCCCTCCTCCCAGCCCCACTGGGGTTACCACCTTTGAAATGTTAACTCCCCTCCCCAATGTTAGAGATAACTAAGTGCTAACTGCAGTAGGGTTTGGCTGATAGGGACATCGGTTTAGCAGGAACTAGGATGAAACCCCCCCACCTGATTCCACACAAGCCCAGCAAACAGCCGTCCCGTGACATCACTACTGCCATTCGCTAAATTCAAACCAGCCATTTACAGGTGAAGCAAACTTCACCCACGGGTGTACACTGACCCCGTTTCACGTCTCAGCTCTTGTGTGAAACGGCCCCGTATAGAGATCTCATCTGATCCCTAACCCCGGGGACGGCCCAGTTACAATCATTTCTCCAAAAGCTCACAAAGGCCAAGTGGTTTTGGACAGCTTCTGCTCAACGTGCAGCAGATGCTGTGTCTGCCACTGGGATGAGCCTTGTCCCCTTTTTCCAGATTAAAACCAAAGCCTCATTAGGGAATTAAACGCTGCTACTTCATCTATTTTTAAGAGTGGAGGTTTACCATATGTCCCACTTGAAGCGGCTTGTCACCTGGTTTTTCAGCAGGCAGGTACGGTCTGATAGATATTGCCTCCTTTCCAGCCCCAAGAAAGTGCAGCAGAAAACTGCTTTGCTCAAGTTCTTCTAAATAAGTTATCCCCAAAGGCCGTGGAGTTGAAATGATGCAGCCACAGCGTGAAGCAACAGGCGGAAAGCAACAGCCAAGGTGATTGGGAGAGAGAACACATACTTGGAAACTAAACCAAGGGAATGTTTCCAGGGTCTGATGCTCCCAGCCCACGCTATGGTCACTAACTGCCTATGCCGCGCCTCTGAAGGCTAGGCCCTGCAGCTCTCCTCATGAACGGAATAGGCTACTCCCATATGCAGTCACAAGTAAAGAAGAAACCCATTTCTCCTTATTCAATTTAGGCCGAGGAGTTGCTCTTTTAAGCGTCCCCTCTCAGCCAAAGCTTCTCGCCTGCTCTCCCTTTACACTGCAGGTGGCAGCAGACAGAGCAGTGCATAAGCAGTCAGGAGATCTGAATTCTCTTACATCCATCCCGTAACGCCTCCGTGCCTCAGTTTCCCCATCTGTAAAGCTTGGGCTAATACCTGCCCAGTGCACACTCTTAAGTGCTTTAAAAACACTTGGAAGATACTCCGATGGAAAGTCCCAGAGTAGGAACAAGCAGAACAGCCCTTACCAAGCGTTATTTCTAATTCACGGAGAATGGTCAGAGCAATAGAAATACAAAATAGTTAAATTACCATTTGCAAAATTTGGTTTATGTACCCACTGATTAGGGTAGCTGTTCCTGTTCTGGTGCATTTAAACAGATGATAGTCCCACGCAGAAAGTCCTTGTGAAGCAGGACGAGGGGAGAAGAGGGAAAGAAATAAGAGAGAAGATGGTCTGGAGATAGAATTGGGGGGTGGGGGAGTTAAGGAGCTAATTCAACAAGGCCAGTGAGGGCAATGCAAAGCAAACATTCTCTTTTCACAAAGATTTAAAACAAGGCTGGTGTAGCAAGACTCTGAGCAGGCCTTCAGTTATTACACTCCCTGCTCAGACAGAGAGTGCTAGAACCAGAAGACAGCTGCTTTTGATTTACAAGTGCCTGGGATACGAGGTAGTAAGACTTAGATCTGGTCGACACCTAAAGTATAGGTACGTTGCTTCGGGGGTGTGTGTGTGGAAAAATTCACACACCCCCGAGTGACATAGTTAAGCCATCCTAAACCCTGGTGTAGACAAGATAGGGCGACAGCAGAATTCTTTTCAGAGTAGCAGCCGTGTTAGTCTGTATCCGCAAAAAGAACAGGAGTACTTGTGGCACCTTAGAGACTAACAAATTTATTAGAGCATAAGCTTTCATGGACTACAGCCCACTTCTTCGGATGCATATATTCTTCTGGCAGCCTACCTACAGTGAGTGTCTTGAGGGGGTGAATTTACTACAGCAATGGAAAAAAAAACCCTTCGGTCACTGTAGTAGGGGTCTACGCTACAGCAGGTGTGCCGCTGTAGCGTTTGTAGTGTAGACATATCCTGACAGTGCCTTCAGCGGAGATGCTCCAGGCCAGAGGAGCGACAGCCTGCCACACTGCAGAGCCACAAGGTCCAATGTGCAGAACAGCTACTGTTAGACGGCAGTATTGCCTTTGGGGGACTGCAGCCATCCGACTCCCCATTGTGGAAAGACCCTTCTATAAAGAGGGTGTGACGTGGCAGCTGCGAGATCTGGCCTACGCCTGCCAGCTAGCAACGTAATGGCAAGGCAGAGCCGGTGTGACATTAACAGGGCTCAGAGGCTCTGTGCCAGGAAAGATGGGTCAAAAGAAATGCTGTTTGAATTGATACAATCAGACACCCTGCAGATACTCCAGCTAGCAGGGACTCATTAGCCAGCAGCCAAAGAGGATAAGGGAGTTATTCCAAGAGGCTTCAGATGCCCTGAGCACCCAGCAGGGAGCATAAACAGCAGCAGGAAAGGAGCTCAGGGTAGCTGATGGTCCCTCTTTGGCTGCAGGAAAGCCATTCCTTCTGCAACGTTTAGTGTTTTAAACGAAAGCTCAGCGGTCCAGGTGCTTCTGCTGACAACTATTACAGCTCAGGCCAGTCTGGCTCAGACCCCAGAGCAACAGCCCGTAAACCAGGCAGAAGGAAGACTGGAATATTTAGTTTTTCCTACCCCCATGGCTAGAGTGTGTCTTTAGTTAGTTACTAAAGTGGAGCAGGGGCGATGCCGCTTAAGAAGCCAACAGTCCGCTGATCTTTGTACTTTGCGGTGGAAATGGCAGACACTCAAGCGATCTTTCGAATGCCCATGGTGCACCTGAATAGGGGGATCTAGACCAAATGCACACTGCAGAGTTTGTCAATCCAGCACGCCTCCCTAGGAAGGAAAGAGAAACCAGCTCCTCAAAAAATCTATTTTATTGTATAAAATTATACATACAAAATGCATGTGAAATACTGAACATTATATGATATAATGGAACAAAGGCAGAGACAGCATGTGAAAGGTGATTTATCTTACTGTAGTGTTTGATTCGGAATATACAGCATGAAGGCAGGAAAGAAGAGACATTGGATGCTTAGGAAGCCAGGATATTAATAATGCTGGTACTACGGATTAGATCGACAGCCAAACTTCCCCCTTGAAGCTCATGGGGGATAGAGGTTTCAAGACAACTTGTGATTAGAAGGGGGGGGGGGAGCAGGGACGCGGGAAAGACACAGATAGACACTTGATGCTATTTATAATAAAGCTAAACTGGGTCCTGCCCAGGAAATCCTCTTCCCAGTAGAAAAAGGCATGAGGCAACGTCCCATAGCTCTGCATCAGGTCGTGGAGTGTCTACAATGAGATGCCAGAGCGCTAGCTTAGCAGAAACAGGCAAATCCTCTGGTGTGGCTCTACTTATAAAGACAGATTTTATTATATAAATATAAAAAACTACCTCCACAACGGTCATGAAAGTCTGAGAGCCTGCCCAGACCTTTCCAAACCTTAACCCAGGCAAGGAAACTAGGGATGTTTAACACGCCTAGAGGAAGATTCACTGTGTGAATGGATTAATGGAATTGGAGAAGGCTGATATACGCTAACATATCATCCTTTTAAAACAAACTGCTGTGTGTGAAGTCTTGATATGCCTCTCCTACTGCAAAGAAGTCCCATTAAAGAGAACTAGCCTTTGATCACAGAAACCATGTAATCCTTAAAAGGTTATGTTAAGAACATAAGAACGGCCATACGGGGTCAGACCAAGGGTCCATCCAGCCCAGTACCTTATCTGCCGACAGTGGCCAATGCCAGGTGCCCCAGAGGGAGTGAACCTAACAGGCAATGATCAAGTGATCTCGCTCCTGCCATCCATCTCCACCCTCTGACAAATAGGTTGTTTTGTTTCAATCCTTTGTTTCAAAGCTTATGTTTGCTGCCGTTTTTGGCACCAAAAAGCACCTGAAACGTATCCCTTACGATTCAGAGTATAACACTGTGCTGATGATTGAATAGAGTTAGCATTTCTGTTTTAGTGGAGAACCATTAGGGTCTCACATAAGCAAATAAATACACCTTGGAAAGATCTGTAATTAGCACCGAAATGAGGAGCAGACAGGCCCTAAGAAGCTTCCAGTGCTTGCTGGGAGCTGAAGTGCCAGACTTCAGAAGGGGACGAGTTTGATTATTCAGCTGTCACAGGGAACGCAGCCCATGTATGGATAAGTGAGGACATTTCTAATGCAGTTTGATTTCTGCAGCACCACCCTGTGTCAGCAGTAGGGTTAATACTAATTCAGATTAGCCAATTTAAACATAAAATAAAATCCAACATGGATGAACTGAGGTCTAGGCCCAGATTCTGCCCTGCACCAAGCAATGTGGGAGGAAGGTGTCCAACTCAGGGAGCATCTTATGCCTCCAGGAGAGTCATGGAGGAATTGTGCCAGCTCTGGCCCACTGACACATTAGAGCAGCTATGGGGCTGCTCTAATTTATGTCTATTGGCCCAGGTCTTTATGGCTTATACACAACTGCACTCCATCCTGACCCCAGCACCAGGACAAGGAGTGTGGTGGCCAGTCAGCACAAGAGCTGGCTAAGTGAGAACTTCCCCATGACGGGTTAATTCTCAGTTAGGGCTAGATTTGGCCACCTTGCTCTGCCAAAGTGGTACAATCCGGTCCATAATTCAAAAAGTAATTTGATTGTGGGCTGCTCTGCACTGGAAAGTTAGATCAGCATCACTACATGTAAGGGGTGTGAAAAACCCACACCCCTGAGTGATGTAGTTAAGCCAGCCTAACCCCTGGTGTAGACACCGGGAGGTTGACAGAAAAATACTTCCGTTAACCTAGCTACTGCCGCTCAGGGAGGTGGATAACCTACAGAATGGGAGTGCCCCTCCCATCGTTGTAATAAGTGTCTACTGAAGCACCGCCGCTGTAGCATTTTACGTATAGGTGGCCTTAAAATAAAGAAGAAACTGGAAGTAACATTTCTGGAGATACACACTTCGGGTTCCAATGCTGTGAACGTCACCTTTCTCATGTGAAGGTACTCAAGGTCTTAAGCATCTGCAGGATTAGATCCTTAGACAAGTCAGTGTCACCTGATTTATTTTAACGCTACCCACAAGTGGAAATGTTTGCAGAAAGTTAAGACTCTGTGCTGTATCTAGAGAAAGGAAATGATTAAGTGTCTTAGTAACGGTCCAGAAACCAAGAAACCAACCTGAAAACCAAAAAACAAAACCCAAGAACTAAAAATACCATTTACAAATCAAGTTTATAAATGCATTAAACATTAATACTATCAGGTAAAAAGGCTGCATATAAAAATATATATACACATATAAAAACCATCAGACATGGGCTTGTTAGGACTGGAATACAACACTAGAAGGCCGAAGAATAATGCAATTGCTTCTTGATCTCCCTCTTGTGATAACATTGCTTCAATATCCACATGCTACTAGTTGAAACATCCTCCGCAAGAGGCTTCTTGAGAAAGATGGAGTGGGGTCGAGAGGGGATCTCTGTGGAGATACCAAAACCTGTGGCAGGCTCCTGCTCTCGGAGTGGGACCTCAGAGACTAGTCTCAATTAGTGAGACACCAAGAGCCAACGTGAGAAGAGATCCACAAGGATCCCAAAGTGGTAGAATACTTTTTTTTTTAAAGACAGTCTTTGACTCAAGATCCCACAAGAGATCCCATCAGCTCTTCTGGATTATATGATGAAAAGGCTTTGAAGTGTTATGAGGAAGATTATTTTGTGCACCAGCAAATCATTGCTTTGTTAGACTGCACTGTCTAGGAGACGTGCTCCAGCTGGCTATTTAACCTGAACTACACTAGTGAACGGAGAATACAAAATACTGTACAAAGTGCTCAACTGTTACCCCCTGCTTCCCCACCGCCTGAGGCCTCCTACCTCTTCAATGCTGATTAGAGGAAAAGCCAAGAGATCGTGACTGACATCTCGTTTGAATTACAGGCAAATCTATTGCATTGCACACTACATGTTGCAAATCAAACAGTACAGAAAACGTACCACGTGGCTGTTTTACAAAACATTAGTTTTCCCCCTACTTTGTAAAGGAAGAGTCTATGACAACGGCCTTGGATGACTGACCTACGAGCAAGCTTAAAACTGGTCCCATTACAGTGTAGGCGTAGCTGACAGATACTTTCTGTACCATGGCTTCCTACTCCATCAATCCCCGTGCCATTTATGTCACCACAAAAATAGATTCAGATTTGCTATTAATGGAGGGAGCCCAATACTGTAACTTTTCCTTTACAAAACTAATCAGACATTAGCAAGCCCCCACAAAGCAGGATACGAGATTAAAGAGTCCCACATCCTTTCAAATAAATGCCTTGCACAGCAGGCTTACAAAATCGACAAGTCACTAGATAAAAGGTAAAAAGGTTTGGTAGTTATGATCTGAGAGATTAGTTATTGCCGTAAACCGGAAACACTCGAGTATGACTTCCTGTTGGGAATATTAGAAGCTACGATTTTGCTTTTTGAGCATTAATATTCTGTTTCAACTCAGCAGAACCAAACAGATCTGGATCTTTGATCAAAGTGCAAGTTTGGGCTAAGGCCCCACAGCAAAATATGAAATATGGGCTCCCTAATGCCCATTAGATTTGTCCCGGAGATGCACAAAGATCAGAAATCCAGGGACTTGGATGGTCTGGGCTGGAATGACTTCCCATTTTTCCCCTGGTGCGAGCAGTGAAATGTTTTCAGTTTATAACCAGAGCAATTAATCCCTGGCTTGCATTGTAGTGGCATCTATGTGCACAGGAGAATTTAGCAGATTGGAATCATTTGAGGGCCAATAAGTAGTAAGGGGTGCCCAAGGTGTTGTTAACCCCTTCCTTCCCCTGCCCACCTAACTGTGTAGAAGCCAACAATCAAACAGTTCTATGGTTGTGCTTTGATTACATCTTCAGTAAATATGGTCTGATTAAAACAGTGCTCGCAACTGCCCCCATCTCCACAAAGCTGCAGTTTTTCTCTCCACGACATTTCTCTCCCGGAGATTTCTTTCAACTCTCTTCGGGCAGTCAGGTAACTAAGAAACAGTTCGCAACGGAGTGCCTAGCCTGTTAGGAAAGCTCGGCGTCAGTCCCGGGGATAAGCAGACCCTAGAGAGGAGCTGGGAATGCAGTTTTTCGTCTCTTGATTGGGTTTCCCTTTTGTGCTGCTATTCTGCAGCCAGCAATTCCCCCCCTTTCTGCTCTAAATCTGAACGACAGACACAGCTGGGTATTTGAAAGGATGCTTTTAAGCTACTTGTACTACGGGGCTAGTATTTATACTAAGTGCGGGGCTCTATCAGTTTAAAAAAATAGTGCAGATATAGATTTACATTTCAGGAATCAACACTATAACAAACAGAGCAAGTTCCAAAGTGGAGAGTAAATGCAGCCCTTTGCAGCCTACTATTATCTATTTTGCATGGGTAATCTAAACCTTTTAGGGAGTAAAACCATGTAGGGAGACTGTTCTTGGCATCCTCAAGACGGATCTGACCCATATTATAAACAAGTTAGTGTGCTATAGACTAGGTGCAGCCCTGTTTATAACTTGGTTCAGACCTCTTTACGCTGGCCAAAAGAAACCAAGTGTAGCTGAGGCTGAACCATAGGGTTTGGATCCAGATCTGACCTTCCACTGCTGGGGACCAGCTGGATCCAGGTTCTGCTTCAAGAGGTCAATACAATTCTGGTCAACAAGGTAGTAAACACAGGGCCTTTGGTGATACACCTGGATCAGTTCCCCCAATGTTTCCATTAGCCAGTTCTAAATATCTGGCAAGTGTTTATTAGGTCTTCCTGAAAAAGGTTTAGTCCGACATTGTGTTCAAAAGCAACCCAAAGCCAGGTTGCTAGCATGGAGACAATAGCATGACACCAGACAGTGGTAGGATAGCCTCAGAACTCTGGCGTCCCCAGCCTAGGCGAGGTGAGACTAAGTAACTTATGAAGATGCTTGACTTCTAGGAAAGTGTACTGTCCACTTCATAGCACCACCTACGAGTCAGCCCATTCCAAGCTCATCCACTCCTGCAGGGCTAGGGTCAAATCCCCTAAAAGTCCAAAGGGGATTCAAGAGGGGGACTGCAGAGCTCTCTCTAGTACAGACGTAATTAAAAAGCTGAGCCCAATTCCTTAATACCAAAGCCAATCCCTTGAACACCACCAGAGTCTTGTAATTTGGTATTAAGGAAGCAGTTTGAACATGTGTCAGCAGCTGATTCTCTTTCTGTACAAGAGAGAAAAGATCGAAGCTCAAAACAGATCCAAACATCTTGCTTTTTGGAGTGGAGTTTTAAAATCTGATCTCAGATGCAGATGGCAATTTTACAGACTGACCCCATATTTCTATAATGGAGCAAAATCAAAATCCCAGATCTGAAATTCCATGCGTGTGCTTTGAGGTGCTCTCCATTGGAGCATGAATTCTAGTACAAAGGAGCAGAACATATTGCTAAGTGCTGTGCTTTTCAAAAAGAGGGGTTTGACCAAACCCCTCAGACTGCAAAAGCAGAAGGAAAGGCAGTTTTGCGTCACATGCCATCTGGATCTCTTCAAATCCAGATCTCCCTGGGGAAATGCTACATTTCCATTGAATACGGTCATCTGTACAGTACCTGGGTTGAACGGAGGTCTTTAGAGTAGTGTTAACACTGAAAGGCTGCATTTTTTTAAAAAAAAATGCACTTTTAAAGAGAAGGAATTCTTTAGCAGATAGAAATCTGAAAAGTAACCTAAAGGCTAGTACTAAGTGTAAAAATCTGTACAGAAACTTTTAAAAACATCTTTAAAAAATGTGCAAATGGGCCACGACTCTGGAAAAAGAGGCAGCTATATGCCCTAAGTGATACGGTACAGATCCCTTCAATGTGGAATTGTTAGGAGGCATGGGGAAGCTGAACAGTTTGCGTGCAGCGTCTAGCAATTGGAGGTGTGCATGTTCCCCAGCTGGCCAGCCGCCAGCATCAGGATGTCTTTCTTCTCCTTGTGGAAACGCAGCTCTTTCCCAGCTAGTCGGGCTTCATCCAGCTCCCTCTCCGTCGAGGACAGCTCTCTGGAAAGGGCTCCTGGGGTGCTCTGCTCCCTGTTCACCCAGTCCATGGCCATCTGGTTCCTTATGTCGTCGTCCAGAGCACGGTGTGAATAGTGAGCCAGCACCTCCTAGTGGGAAGAAATATGACGGGAGCTTATGAATGGCGAGTCACTAAGAACACGCGCGTTGGCTAGTAGCATCTGGCTCAGTGGCACACGACAGCATGATGGGAAATGAACGACGGGGCTGGATGAGCACCGAAGCAAAAGGTCCAAGAATCCCTTAGGCACGTGCGGTACTGCTGCCAAAGCGGCGCTCAGCCAGTGCCCAGGCCAGCCTTACCTGCCGTGAGCACTGCCTCTCTCGCATGGCTTTGAGGCTGCCATTCCAATGCAACAGCTGGAAGACGGTCATCAGCTCCTGCGAGGGGAAACGGCAGTTAGCTTTGAAGGGCAAGAGCGTCAACAGGAGGAACTGGCGAATCAAGGGAAGGGCAGCAATGTACACAGGCAAAATGCTTCTCTAGCACACAGCTGAAAGCCTTTCTGTGCCATAGAGCCCTCAGGAGGCAGTGTTCCCTAGTGGGAAGGGCACTGGACTGGGTCACAGGAGACCTACTGTGACCTTGAGCAAGTCACTTCACCTCCTGGTGCCTCAGTTTCCCCCTCTAAAATAAGGATAACGATACTGAGCTCCTCTGTAAAGTGCTTAGAGGTCAGCTGCTAAGACGTGCTAGGGCTACAGCTGGTAAGAGGTGCAGATTCTTATTAGACAGACAGACTTAGGTGGGGAAGATACACAGGAGTGAATTAGTCCTTCCTTCCACTTACTTTTTGCCCACCTAGTTACTAAGCCGCAGCAGGGAGGGCTTAGTGGTTAGATCAGAGGACTGGGAGCCAGGACTCCAGGGTTATATTTCCAGCTCACCATGTGGCATTTACAGACCGGTTCTATTCCCTTATCTGCAATCCTGGGCAAGTGGCTTCATCTTTCTAGATCTTTTCCCTCACCCGTAAGTTAACCACCTCACAGGGAGCTGACGCTTCAGGAAAAGTTTGTGAAGTGCTTTGAACTCCTTGAGCGGAACAGGCTAGAAGCCATTACTGCTACTTAGATAAGCTTCACAGGGCAGGGACCGTGTTATGGGTTTGTACAGTGCCTACCACGGAGGACTCTAGACTGACAGGGCCCTTCAGCACTATTGGCAATATAAATAAATTTGTGATCACAGCAGGCTTACTTAAAGTTGAGGCCATGCTGATAAAGTCCTACAGTACAGAGAGATGAAAAGGCCATTCATGGAACAACTATTTAAAAGGACATATGTAATTGTATAGGCTGATCCATCAGTCAAGGGCATTGCCCAGGCCTTGCATAGCTAGACAGAAGACCACTACCAATGACGGGACGGGAAAGATCCTTCAGACTGCTGAATCTTTATACCTCTTGTGCCGTAACATCCTCTGTTGGTGCTTCCCTCTGCCCTTTTCATCCCCAGAGCTATTGCACCAGACGCTGGTCGGTGATAGTGCAGAGCTTGGTTGTAATGGAAACCGGGCAAACGTTTCTCTGATGGCCGCACAAACCCCGTTCCATAAACTCCCACAGAAAGCCAGGCTTCCCACAGACAATGCCGCCAGAGGAATATACAGGATGTGGCGTCAGTCTGTGTAAACAGGGCTATTAATATAAACACTTATCCTCCGCCTACAGAATGTTACCATTCAAGGGAGAGCAGCCGGGCAAAAAGTCAGTGTCAGGAAAGTTTGCTTTCAGCAGAGAGTTCCAAATAAAAAAAATTAAGTTACGAGCTTAAGGCGCCTGCCTACATGCATGAAGCTGCCAAGCTCCTTTGAGCATCTGGCAAGTGAAAGTAGGGTCTATTTCTCCCCTTCTGAGAATCAAATCCCTGAATCCAGATAAATCAGCTACTAGTGGGGAGTGTGTAAAGTCCCTGTTTCAAGTTTCCAGTGACCGTAATATCTGTACTTCCATAAAGGGCCTTTCCTCCAAGGATCTCAAAGCACTTGAAAAAACAATTAAACCTCAGAATACCCGAGAGGTAGATGGCCCCATCAAACAGAGAAGGGAACACCTAGAAAGATGTGGCAGCAAGTCAGATGCAGAATTGGGAACAGAGTCCCAATTCTGTGTGCCCACTGCTCTAGCCATTGGACAAGCCTCCCTCCCAATGGCAGGGAATAAACCCCAGAAAAGCCTTGGCTCCCAAAGCATCGTCTACACTGATTAAAGGTGTAACTATGAGGTGAGACGATGTCTACACCGGAGCTGGAGATGTAATTCCCAGTTCAAGCGATGTACATTATACTAGCTCTGATTAAGCTAGCACATAGCAGTGTAGCCACGACAGAGGGACAAGCTACAGTCCCGACAGAGACCCTAGGTACGTACTTGGGCGGCTAGCCTGACCAACCAGTTCCACTGTGGCTACACTGTATCAGAGGGATAGCTGTGTTAGTCTGGATCTGTAAAAAGCGACAAAGAGACCTGTGGCACCTTATAGACTAACAGACGTATTGGCTACATTGCTATTGTTAGCATGCTGACTCGATCAAAGCTAGCACGCACATATCTACCTGAGCTGGAGATTACACCTGCCAGTACAGATGTACCCCAGGTAACCAACTAAGATGATCTCAATGATTTCAAGACTTCAGTATGCCTAATTCTCTACACTTACATAGTGCCTTTCATCCAGATACCTTCAGTTGCTTTAAAATGGAAATAGCTAGCCCATGTTCCCCTCTCTGAAGATAAATGACAACAGGTGAAACAACTTGCCCAAGGTGTCTCAGCCAACCAGTGGAAGAGCTGGGAATAGAACCCAGAACTCCCAGTCCTCTAACCACTAGACCATGTTGCTTCTTGCATTACCAATATATTCCAATACTGAAGGCATTGCACAACCCCTTCCACAATACTGGTCTCTGTGAGCGTCTCCAGAGCTGTTTTAATCAGAGGGGCGCCGATAACAGAACCCTGCACAATCCAGATATTGTTGAACTTTGGAAGGCTTGAAAAACCCTGGTCTGGAGTCTGTGGCTGGAGCTCCTATCTAGCACTAAGGGTACAGCAACACAAAAGCCATAGCAGCACGTGCTTTCTGAATGCACAGGCCTGGTACATTCTGTAGCACTGAATGATGTGACTAGAAGATTTAAAAAAAAACAACCAAACAACACTTTAATCAAGACTGGAGCAGGGAATCAAGTTATGGATAGTACCTGAAACTCTAACATTGATTTTCCCTTGTTGGATTCCAGCATGAAACGGAAAGCACCAATTCCAGTGTTCGGGTTATCGGCTTCTTCTCGATTACCCTGCAGCAAAGAGTAATATTAAAGAATTACAACCCCTAAACAGAAAAAGGCAACCACACAGCTGGCACGCTGCTAAGCAGTGTTCCCACATGGCTCTGCTGCTGTTAGTCAGACATTTTCAGGCTCCACAGTCTTGGTTTGTTTGTACTCTGATGAGGCAAACTTTAACCACCTTGAATGTTTCACAGATTCTACAAACACTTGCATCTGAAGAAGTGAGGTTTTTACCCACGAAAGCTTATGCCCAAATAAATCTGGCAGTCTCTAAGGTGCCACCAGACTCCTTGTTGTTTTTACAAACATGGAAGAGATTTTGAATTCCTCCAACTCCCAGTAAACACTGTGCTCTTGCTCGGAGACGTCCCAGGGCAGAAGTGATCGGGACAAGACAAAAGCCAGTGACTTGTCTCCATCTTGGAGAAACGTGATGATACTTTACAGCAGCCATATCTAGATGAGGAGTGCTCAGAGGTACTTTGGAATTAACTGGATTCAGGTGGACAACAGGAAGTGGGTATTCACCCACGAAAGCTTATGCTCCAATACATCTGTTAGTCTTAAAGGTGCCACAGGACTCTGTTGCTTTTAACAGGAAACCTGAGATTTGAGCAAGAAATCTTGGAACACCCAGAAAATGTAACATCTGTGACCTGATGCTCTGGGCAGATTTCCTCATGCATACTTCCACAGACTTCTGTGTGAACTATGATGGCTTATATTTTCATGAATCATAGAAATGTAGGGCTGGAAGAGACCTCAAGAGGCCATTTACTCCATTCCCTTGTGCTGAGGCAGGATTAAGTAGACCTAGAACATCCCTAATAAGTGTTTCTCCAACCAGTTCTTAAAAGCCTCCAAGTTGATCTAGTGCAAGGGACCAGTGACCATTTCAATGTCTTTTGGACCACCAGGATCATCACTGAAGTCCGGCAATACCAGCTTTCCAAGAGCTACACCGCAGTATTTTCCTAGTTTCAGTAGTTGATGAGGTAATGGGTCTTCGAGGTCACACTTTGCATGCCTGTTGTATCTTGTACTTGTTGACTAGCATATTAGCCAGCCACCTCATAGGATCTAGGCAAATTTTGACCATGATTTCAATGCAAATGGTTTCATGCTCTTGGCACAAGACAGGGGACTGAATTTGACTTCCAAGTCCCTTCCAGCACTACATTTCTATGATGAGATGCTCTCTTTCGGTAGCATTTAGGATTGTAAAATTGTTTCATGGTTCACAGAGTAGTTTGGGTTCCATTAGGTGCTATCTGAATGCACAGTAAAAACTCATTCTGACAAAGTAGGATTTTGGCACTAGGAAATTTAACATGCCTACCACCAAGGATATAAACAGGTACGGCTTTGTAATGCATCTGGCTTAAATAACGAGGCTGCACACAATAACAGGCTGATCAGAGAAGCTCCACACCCCAAGAGTTCATCAGGCTTGAACATTGCAGGCTCAATAATGGAACGGAGTTGATCTTGCTCCAGGCCCGGTGAGCACCAGGAAGTCAGACACCGTTTTTGAAACAGCAAGGTGCAGTTATCGGTTACATTTTGAGGGGGGCAGTGCCTTGAAAAATCTTAACAATATCCCCCCACCCCCATGCAGTTAGAGAAACTTTTTTGATGCTTTCTGGTCTAATTAGTCTTGTTTTTCAGAGGCTATCCCTATAAAAGTACACAGGATCCCAGATAGGTGGAAACCTTACATTGACTGTAACATCTACGGCAGAGAAGTCACCATGTAATAAAATGCTCCTGTTTTTAAATCACATGCTCCACTTTTGTGTCATCAAGCCCTATTACAATGAATTAGGGGAAGATTTTCAAAAGCTCTAAGGGATTTAGACCACAAATCCCCTTGAAAGTTAATGGAGCTGGTGCCTAGTTCCCTTAGGATCCTTTGACAATCCCATCTTGCAGGCATTCCAAGTAATACCACATGGAACCCACTATACTCCAGCAAGTTATTATACACCTTTATCTTCTGCAGAAGAAAAAGAAGAGAGACTATCTAGCCAACCTTTCGGGTTACTGGTAGTACCAGACATGGGTAGGCACTGAGTAAGCCAATCTTTCATTTTAGCTCACATAAAAGCAGTTCTATACAAGAGAGACATTTTTATATTTAAAAGAAACTTGGCCAGAATTGTAGGAAAGGGTGTGAAGTGCTTCTCCTGGAAGTGGAATAAGTTTGGAGTTAACAGGCCCTCAACAGTGGGAATGCTGAAAACATTAAGGACTAAATGGTGCTCTCCGATACACCAGTCCAAAGTAAGTCTGCTGATCTAACTGGAGGCAGATTTAACTCCAAGTGCAGGGCTGAGAGGATAGATGGAGAAGGGAGTTTGAATCCAGGAAGGGAACAGTTTGAGAGAAAACAAGAATTAGAGTAATAGTTTATTTTTATTTTTAGTATTTCTGTATCATTCCAAGAATCACTGGAAAACCTGCCATAAGGGTTTCCAGATGCAAAAGAAATTTCCCTTCCCATAGATTTATGAGATTTTCCAACCAGTCTGTCCCTATCAACTGCAACAGTCAAGACATTCAAAGCCCTTACGTTGAAAGATGCCAAGGCTTCCGAGACACTCTTCTCAATGAACTCATCTGTGATCCTCCGGGAGGGGTGCTCGTTAAAGACAGAATTCATTAGTGCAATCTTCGCAGCGCTCCTCCTGGCTTCAGCCTTGGTCGGACAGAACTGGGGACAGACGTACATGCCATCAGAACAGAAAAGCAGAGACGGCCGAGATCAGTTAAGGCCGACACACTCCAAAGTTCTCCCCGCGTATACGAAATGGCTGTTAAGTGGCAGTTGTTGTGAAGTGCTGGAAAGCTATTTTCTCAGACATCCTGAAGTCATTAGGAGTGTGTTTTTAAACCACAGCAAGCCCAGCCATACTGAATGCAAAAAATTAAACTGGAAGTTGAAGTCAGCACATATTATGTGGACATGGAAATACCACCAACTGGATTGCCAACAAAATTAATTATCTTAAAACCAAAACACAGCCAGCCTTCTCTAAACACGAGGGCTACGCTGCAGGATGGGGAGGCAGTTCAGCTGCTGGAATTGTTTCTTTTGGATGCCTTCTTCAAACCAAGACTAGAGCATAACTCGGCCTTAAGCCACTGCAGGAAAGGAATCCGAAATGCAATCAGGACCCTGTGTGATTTTTGGACTTTAATCTTTCTGGTTAAGTATTTGGGATTGGACCTTTTCCTTCGCAACAAAGGAAAGGCAGCGGCTATTGATCAAGCCTTATTAGTTTGGCTGCCAAACTTTTTTCTGAGCATCTTGGGAAGAGACACTGGGTCGAATTCAGAGCTGTATTAGGGATTGAAACGCTACTGAAGTTCATGGACTCTAGAATTCACACTGTAACCGTACTCAACTACTTAACCCTGTGAAGAAGAAGGCATTTAACTTAAGGCAAATATTGCTATACAACAGTTATGCTAACACTTGCCAATTGCCTTAGATGCCATGTCTGCAACCTCACTATTTGCAGAATCCCTATTAATTCCCTGCAGTGAGTATGTAATCCTGGGGTAACATAGCTAAAGCAAATCTCAAGCTAAAGACAACCACTGCACTTACCATGTTGAACTAAGTTGGGTTGGATTTATCCCTCTACTATGGGTCCGGATCCATCTGTGCTTTGGGGCTCCCAGAAAATCTCCAGCACCCACCCCTCACAGCGAGGAATTTGATTCCATTAGAATGGGGACTTGAGGGAATTGATAGACTCCCCTCAGCCAGTTCTATGGAGAATGAGCTCTGTGGCTAGAGCCACTCAAGTCTCTGTAGCCATGTGGTCCTACCTGGAAGCTACCAAAGCAGCTCCCCCCAGGCAAGGTGACGTAGCAGACATAAGGGGGGCTGTTGGAAGGGACCATCTCATACACCACCAGGGCTCCGTTTTTCAGATCAGCACCGCGTGACTGCTTCATCTGCCAGAACTCCTGAAGAGCTTCCACAACGTTCACTGAAGATACAGAAGTCAGGGGAAAAAAAAGTTAAGGACGCATATCAGGGAGAGAAATGGTCTTTTCATACCGCAAAAACTGAGCGCAGGAAACGGAGCCTGAGAAACTGGTTTTACTGCTCCCCACTTGTGATTGCCGGTCTACAGAAACGGAGAGTCACTTGCACATTAACACCCATTGAGCTGTACCAATATGACAGCAGGGTCCCTCCCCATGGAGCTGACAGTCCAATTCTGAGAATGGTCAACTTCAAGCAGAATTGTAGGTGCTCAGCACCTCTAGACCCAAGGTCTAATCTTGAGACACAACAGTCTAAACATACAGTGAGTGAGTTAAAAGGCAAGGCTTTTGGTAGTGAAATTTTTTCCTCTTAGAGAAAGCTGGTGGGGTGTGGGGTGGGAAGACCGAAAGGCTCTTGGAAGAGAAGTGGGCTGTAGTCCACGAAAGCTTATGCTCTAATAAATTTGTTAGTCTCTAAGGTGCCACAAGTACTCCTGTTCTTATTTTAAAGAAGGGATCTGAGTTAATAAGGGAAGAAATCAGCAATGTCTTTTTTCTAAAGGCAATCTATATTGGTAGTGATGTGTTTGCCCCTTGCTTGGGCCAATCAGCTGGGCTGTCAGTGTCCGGAATCTGACTGGATGCGATTCTTCAGACATTTAAGACCACAAAAGATTCTGCAGTGTTCAAGTGGCACGGTGCGGCAGGTGGCAGGGCTAATTAGAGCCAATAATAACCACACTGACCTGCCCTGGCACTAAGATGCCCAATAGAGATCACCTGTCCTTAAGTCAGACATTTCATGTCCAGTTTGAGATGGTCACGGTTTTATGGAGCGGCACAGAGGGCTCATTCAGAAAAGGCGTGGGCTGCCCAATTCAATCCTTCCCTAATTCCACTGACATTTGGGTGGGAATGGAGAGGCCTCGTTTATGAATCATGACGGTCTTTCTGAATGGGAGGAGGTATAATTGAATGGTGAATCACATACTAAAATAAGGAATATCATTTTTAGTAGAAGTGTTTTGTTTTTTCCCCCCATTCATGTCAGGAAGCCAGAGTCCAAAGCATTAACCCTGGCTTACTTTGGCAATTATGGTCCTTTCAGGATAAGAGCCAGTCTTTAACAGTCTTCTAGATGTTCCTTAAATAAGTAGAACATTTGCTATCCTAGATTCAAGCAGATATCCCGCCTCTGCCTGAGGACAATACCCCAATGCTTCAGGGAAGGCAAAAATCCCACTACGCACCCAACTAACTGTGCAGGGCTGCACATGGTGGAAAGATTGCTTCCGAACCTCTGTGGTGATAAGCGTGTGGCCAGAAGCATGAGATTCAATCACGCTTATCTTTGCATACGTGCAGGAATTACAAACATTATTCAGGATTCCCTGCAGCTATTTCACGTGCTGTGAGGGAAGAAGCATTTCCTTTTATTTGTTCTAAATTTATCTGCCCTTAACATTAGAGCAATTCCTCCTGCCACTGGAGGGATCCCACAGCTTCCATCAAAATCCTGAGTCTGAAAATTCTCTCTAAGCTACTTTCTACACTAAATAGTTCTACGTTTTTGCGATATCTAGTTCTAGGAAAATCCTCTCCTAATCCATCTTCGTTATCCTTCTCTGGGCCTTTTCCAACCTCAGTTATCACTTTGAAATGAAGCAATGTACAAAATGAATTAGAGTAACATTTTGCGAACAAAAGAATGCTACTGGAAAGAAGAGTTAGGCCCTTCCATGCGGAATCCTGCTAGAGAGTTATTCCGATTTCTTTTACAGAAAGACAGAACAAGCAAGAGGACTCCCCTGCTTACAGAAATCCCCCCATGGGAATATGACAAGACGGAAGATCAGTTTGGTGACACAAAGAGTACCACGCTAGGTACTTCAAGCTATCCAGCTAAACATTTTATTGGCCCACACACTGTACTGTAAGTAACACTTTAGGTTTTCAGCCATGCAGTTTTCAGGATAAGAGAACTAGCTTTATCTTATTGCCTCTAAAGTTATTACTTTCATTAGCTTCCTGTAGAATGGAACCAACAAGATAGTTACCCGAAGTTTCTTACTAAAACATTTTGCCCGCCTGCCTCAGATGCAGTGTTTCAGGGAGTTAGTTAATAACGAGCACTTGGCTTGGATCACCTTCAAGTTTGGGGTATGGATTTTTCCTCAAACACACAACATGGGGGCAGTTTTAAACCCGAGAGTCACAGGGAAACGTACACAATCTATGTGGTTCCTGGCCAGCGCTACAGCACACCAGCCAGAGCACGGAATTCAAACATGGGCAAGCAGATTCCCTTTCTACTGACAAGATAAATCATGCATATAATCCCCACGGGGAGACAGAGACAATGCCTTATTCAACAAACAGTTTGACACCCCGTTTGGCACAGGGCAACTGAATCTTTGCAGCTATCACCGAATACCAGCAACTTCGCAAATGAAAAACTGAAATTAAGCCACATCAAGCAGCATGAAAAGGCTGAAATCACCCCCCCTCGTTATTATGAACATTCAAAACAATAAAAAGTTTGTTAATTTAGTTAAGACAAGAAACGGGATGCTGAGCGCCTAAGTGGAGGTAACAAGGAGACCATGTTTAGCCAGCGCGTGGGACTTGAGTTCTCAGTGAGAGACAAGCTCCTTTCTATGTTACACACTGCTTATTTGTTTTGCAGGGTGCTTTGTTAGCGACTGCTGGAGCATTAGGTCTGGCAGCTGAGGGAGTATCCAAGAGGTTCTCTCTCAAGGACTGAAATCGGTGCTTCCAGCCCAACAGAGAATGGGGGCGATTTAAAAAGAGAGAGGAGAGAGTTAAACAAGTAACTGGAACTCGGCAAAGATACTTTAAAGAAAAAAACTGCAAGAGAAACTCAACAAGCCTGGTTGCTGTGAATGGAAAAAAAGACTTTAAAAAAAAATAATAGTATCAGAGCTTATGGTATTTCTTGAATAGTCTGTCTTTTCCCTTTCAGCAGTTACAGCTGAATAGCGCTAGGCCACACCACCATGCATATTTATCAGGTAATAAGTGCTTAGCGAGTGGAGTGATCTTTCAGCCAATCGGACGGCAAAGAGCATTTGTTCACAGCGGCATACGGATTCTGGGGGGGGAAGACAACTTCCATCTTGTATTTGTTCTGGGTAGCAATCTTCAGCTCTTTGCCGGACTAGAGTTCTCAAAACGCAATCACCGATTCACCCCCATCCTCCCAAAGAGGCCGTGCTTGAAATGGATGGATTCATATTGTTCAGAGTTAGGGTGACCAGATGTCCCGATTTTATAGGGACAGTCCTGATTTTGGGGTCTTTTTCTTAGATAGGCTCCTATTACCCCCCCACCCCCGTCCTGATTTTTCACATTTGCTGTCTGGTCGCCCTATTCAGAGTTCTGCTGCTGCCATGTTTATTAACAGGAGGAGGAGTGGGGAGACGGGAAAAATCAAAAGCCACAAGGGAAGAGGACTGGAGGTTCTGATCCAAACAGGATGTAAAATAACATCTGTTTTGCAAGCCAGAAGTTGGATGCGTATTTTGGCTGTGACCCTTTGAGAAACAACTGAAGATATTGAGTTGTCCAGTTTTCCATTAAAATATTAAAACTGTTATGAGCAGGCCCAACCCTGCTCACAACATCTGATGACTAGGTTCGACCTGGAAACGTGTCATTAAGATCAACTTTTTGAAGACTCCTAGTGGCAGCCAGAATACTACAGAAAAAGTAGTCATCTGAGACACTGCTTGACTGGGAGAGAGGGCCAACTGAATCAAATGGTACATTCATTTAGTGCGGAAATGATGGGTTGTTATTAGCGCAAGGGACCACGTTAGGACAACTCAGTTATATTTGCTGCTGACTTGTTGTAAGACCCTGGAGGGTTGTTTTTGATCTATGCCTCAGTTTCCCTATCTCTAACCAGAGATGTCACCAGGAGGTTGCCAGGTTTATTTTAATATTTAAAGTGCCCTAAGATCCTATTGGACTAGGAGTGATAGAGCATATACATGGCTCTTTACAACCTTAGGACATGTTCCCACCCCCAGAACAGTTTATCGTATAAATGAGACTGTGAAGCAAAGCAGAGCACTTGGGGTTTGAGAAGATACAAGAGTCTTGAAATGAAAAGGGAAGAAGATTGTTGGGATTTGACAGAACAGAGGGGCCGCGAGGCAGATGATGTATCAACTTCCCTCTTGCATACAAGACACCAGTATTTAGCCAAAGGAATTTTAACACATTTGAGAACTGCAGCCACTGGGTCAACAAGCTCTAACATTGACACTGGCAGCAAGTGGTCCAATCAAAATCCCTGTTCAGCATGTATGACCATCACCCGTGAGGGAATGGGAAATGCCACGCACACATGCCCCCCATCCAGAGAAAAGCACTGAATCTACAGAGTACTACATGGAGCGAAAGCTTTTCTCCCTTTTCAAAACTTAACCCGTAGAAAAGCAGCAATTCCCACTTCGTTTTGTTACTTAAAGCCAGGCCAGGAAGAGATGTAGCCCAGTCACACATATATAGAGTGCTTTGGCCATCAGTCATATCAATTGTTTATTGCCTTGGAGCGTAGACCCCGGTCCCTGTATTGTGTATATGATAGCACATCTGACTCGCATATTAAATAAGGAAGAATAAGTGATTCCACATGGTGCTGAAATGCTTCCAACGCATTCAACTCACATAACGTCTGCCAAGCATTTATCAGTTAGGATGTGTACAACTGCATCTACTGGACCTGCCGCCACAACCGGAACTCAAAACAGTTGCAGAGCATCTCCAGATGGGAGGGGAGAAGGATACTTTCCACCTTTGTGCCAGTAAAATCTGAGGTTTAATCCTCTTTACTGCTTCCACATTTCTTAAGAGGACCAGGTGGGATGTGCAGGAGACTCAGATTTGAGGCTTCCCTGGAGTGCTTTCATATGAATTGGGAGCATCTGAGGCAATACTTGGAGTCCTCAGGACGGGGTGTGGTTTAGTTAACACTCCCACAGCAGCCCACTTTAGTGCAGACATACAGTCTGAGGAGCTAGTCACTTCTTCCACTCACTGTTAGTGGTGAAAAGAACCGCCTGTAGCGGCAGGTAAGCTGAGCAGGGAGAGGGATCTTATGGAAAATACAGTCACTTAGAATGCAAGCAGGAGGGTGGGAAAAAAGGAAACCATCAGTATGCCCAGCAAAACACCCTTCATAGCTGCCTGGTGGGTGTGAAAGAGCCTTTTGTCAGGCACTAACCAGAGAGTAAAGGTCTCATACACATGCTTAGGACCCAACCATTAACACACACAGACAGGGCCGCCCAGAAGATTCAGGGGGCCTGGGGAAAAGCAATTTCGGGGGGCCCTTCCATAAAAAAAAGTTGCAATACTATAGAATACTGTATTCTCGTGGGGGCCCCTGCAGGGCCCGGAGTCTGGGGCAAATTGCCCCACTTGCCCCTCCCCCCGGGTGGCCCTGCACACAGAGCTGTCAAACAAAACCTTACTCCTCTGATAAGGAGATTAGTAACTGGCGTACATTTATGCAGCAAGTTACAGAAGCACCATGAGTTTGAAACCTACCCATCTTCAAACAGAATAAAGAATTGTTCCAGATCCTACACCTAACCTCCCTCCCCAACATTCCTGCCCCCCTGCCAGTCTTATAGTGACATTTACCTATTTTTTCCAGGCCTAAGTTTTCAAAGACCAGTGATTTCAATTGACCAACCTGAGACACATTAAAGGGACTCGATTTTCAGACACCAGATGGCTCAGCACTGTGTGAAATACAGGCCCTTTTAGGTGTCTCCGGTTGAGCACCCAGGCAACCCCCAAGTGAAAACAAAGGACAGGGGGAAAGAGTGCAACTGACATGATGCAAACTGCAGGAGGTGAAACAGAATGATCAGCTGTTTGCCGCAAGAGCTGTCCATTACCCTGATCTTCGGGACCACTTGTAACAAGAGAAAGGTTTTTTTTTTTTAAAGAGACATTATAAGAGAAGAGCAAACACATTAGCAATGTCTTCTGCTCACTTCCAATCCCCTAGTTCACCTCTGCCACATACATACATACATCCCTGAGTGTAAGGGCATCCCCAGCCCCTGGAGCCCCCCGTTAGAAGTCAGGATGGAGTAGCAGGTCTCCTTCCTCACCTTTACTATATCCCCAAGTACAGGGAGTCCCCTCTCTGAAGGGCCGGCAGAGTGGGGGGGTCTCCCAGCTCCCCCCCTCTCACTTCAATAGTCACACTGCTTGCGGGGGACGGGGCCCACTCCCCAGGACAAGGTGGTCCCGCGGTGTGGGGTAGGAGATCCCGGCTCCATCCACTTCCCGGCTCCATGTAATGGGCCTGGGGATCCCCAGTGTGTCTGTGGGGGGCTAGTCGGGATCCCAGTCCTTGGGGCAGGGGGACGGTCCCCCCCCTCACCTAGTGCGGTGTATAAGGGGTTTAGCCCCCCAGGGTTGGGGGAGAGCTCAGATGGGGAGTGCCACTCACCGCAGCAGAGACCCCCGGCTCGGCCACAG